GAATATTAGTTCTCAGAACTAATGAAAATCAAGGAAGGAATAAAAAGAAAGAGAAGTTTTGTGTGTGATCTGAAATGCGTGCTTAAACTGTACTTTTAAATTGTCAGCAATATTTAATTGAATTGCCTTTAGTGCAACTGAAAGTTGAAATATACTGTTGCTGCGTTAATATGAAGCACAAAAAATATCCATTTGAAATCGATCATTTCAAATGTTTCTGGAGAATTAAAACTTGTAAAATTCTCTCTGTTCCTAAAAGTATTTCATTGATGGAAAATTATTCCTTTGAAGAAATAACTCAGCTTTTGCGACCGAACTTTTCAAACCTTTCTTCCCAAAAGGATAAAGCAGTTGACATTACAGCACCCATCACAATGTAAATTCCTTGTTGCCGCTCTTAGTTTCACCATTCTCCGGCTGATATTATAACCGCGATGCTGTCCTAAGAAAAAACCTTTCAAAAGATCAACTTCAACTTGATAACGATATGCTAACTGTCAACTTTTGCATTAAATTTCCAACACCCTCCACTGAACGATAAATAAGTGGCTGATACAACAATGTGGTACAAATGATTTTCATCTGTTAGTGAGGTGATCTAGATGATATATTTATGTAAGGTAATCGTATGCCTTAGTCCAAATAAATTTTGAATGGCTTAATTGTTATTAATAGCATTAAAAGCCTAGATTTTTTCACAAAACAGTTCATTCTTATTAGCTCAAATTTCGATATCCATAATAAGGGCGAGATTAATTACCGCGGAACACTTCTCAAATTTCTCATTATTTGTACTCCCTTTTCCACACTTATTTCGGTTACAAGCACAAAGTCTATTCATCGCTGAATTTTTATTGAATTATTTCGAATATTTTATGCTTAGAAGAAACAAAATTATTCAATATAACTCATTCTTTACTTAGACCACTTACAGTACGGAAGCCGATTTAAGATAAAAACTTAAATTGAAATTTTATATTGGCGGTTATCTGTCTCAGTCTTACAATGCACAAACTTTTGCAGGCTGCTAACCGGACATAAGCATTACTAATTGCTAGATTTCGTAATATTAACTCACGCAGCTGTACATGTACTACGTCGTTTAGTGTTTTTATTCATTTTACCCACACCCTCAAAGTGAAGCTATCTGATTACACTTAAAAAACAACTTAAAATGTAAAAAACCAAAATTGCGGTAAAGAGGGATGTTTGAATAATAAGCATTAAATCTCAGTGACTTTTCTGCAGTTTCTTAGCATTCATACGTTCCTTTCTGTGAATTGCACGTACATCGCCTTGCAGAAGATCCTGCTTTCGAGCAGGTACAAGAACACTTGTATCGTGAAGTTATCAGAAACCGTATAAGCCTATTTTATTCATTGGCATCAGAAGCCTAGTATCACTGCAATAATCTAATAGGTAGATGGTATTCTAACCAAAAGGTTTAAAAAGCAGCTGACCTAATATGATTGCTCAAGAAGACAAGATAAACTGAAAGTACTTCTGTCTTCGTTAAATGAAGTGATCATTCCACCAATTATCGTGAGGATCTTAGAAGTGTACTTTTTACTAGTTGATTCCGAGATAAAAGCTCCTGAAGACTTGATAAATAAATAAAAATGACTCAGTTTTGTATTCACGTCGTAAATGGCTTGACTCTCTCTTCATTCGCTTCCACGTCTCATAACACTAAAGTGAATATTACTGGTCAGCATTTAGTGTCTTTAGAAAAGGGAGGATACTATCATGTCTTCAGGCTTTAGTACTACATTTTTAAACAGTATACAAACGTTTCTCAGGTGTACCGATGGCTTACAATCGCTTGTGACTACCATGTCAAAAGAGGTGGAACAAAGGAGTTTTTGTATTTTTTTCAGCCCTATGATGGATGGTCGTCGTTGATATCCAGTTTTGTTGCGAACGTGGTCTTAGTAATCATGATTCAGATTATTGACTGGATATTTACTCATGACAACGAAACAGTGACAAAGTACTACGCATATATGACGCATAACTTTTCGGAGTATTTATTTACGTCAACAATTATATTACTTATTTTTAAAGAGTAGCACAACACAGGTTAATTTTTTTGGCATGAAAAGTAATCGATACAAGAAGAATATGGATGCAGTCTATTTTGAGTACTCGCGTTGAAGTGATCACATAGACGGTTATGCTTAGATTTCATGATCCTGAGATTTTGGATTCTTCCGGTTCAATTAATTAGTTATATCATAATAGCATATACGATGGATACTTAGCAATTCTTATGGTTTAATTAAGATGTTGGCATTCTCGAGGGAAAATAGGCCTTCTGGAGGAAACATTCATCCAAAATGGATTGACAGTGAGATTTATTGACAATGAAATTGAGCCGAAAATTCAAAGACACCAGAGATCATTCGTGGCAAGAACTTGACATGAACCTTGAAATCAAGAGAAACTTGGTGTTAAAGGAAGAATCCCAAAATCTTTGAGGAGAACATTCGTCGCAGCAACGCTAAGAGTAGTATTCTCCAGACGTCCACAGGTCTGTAGAAGTCCAAAAGGCGAGATTTCCCATCTGGCCGCTTCTGTATGCATATATCGAGTCAGCTGTTCCTGTGAAGCTAGGTACATTGGTCGTCCTGTCTAAAGGGATTCAAGAACACCATTCCATACGGGTACGAAACGGTCCTAGAGGCTCCTTAGGGGTTGTAATAATTGAACACAGTTGACCGGATACTAGTAAGTAACTAGTATCATGCGTCTAGTCCTTTACTTGGTGCAGAGTGAACTCTATCAGTCAAGTTTGCAATGTGACCACCATACTAGGTGGCTGGACATCACGCTGCATTCTGAATTGTTGTTACAACAAGCACGAAACCTAGGTCCAAGGCTTCCTGCAGATTGCCTCCAACCGTCTAACTGAACACTTTGTCGACACTGGTTATTCAATCTCAACAAACGGCTTCTTGGAAGTGATATACAAATTGAAGAGCAACCTACCGAAGACAACACGCTTTCGCATCCTGTGCATTGCTGAAGCTCTAGAAATCCACTTGGGGAAATCGGAGCTCTACATTAAGAAAAGAATTCTTCAACCATATGTTATTTGCTGTGGAATTTAACCAATTATTTTTGTTTTTTAGTTCTTCTATTCTTTCTTATGTAACACCAGATTTAGATGGTTGGAGGCAATCGGCAGGAAGCCTTGGACCTAGGTTTCGTGCTAGTTGGCACTCATCAGCAAGGCGTATCTGCAGCCTTGAAGGAACTGATGTGCCTTTTGAGATTTGAACCCGCGTCACCCAGTGCTGCGGTCAGAGATTTTACCACTGAACTATTCAGGCTCGCGACTGACCTCCTGTAGGACTGTATAGGATATTTTTGATTGCACACTAGTCAGCAATCAAAAAACACCAGATTTCCCTTCGTTTCTATGTGCATCTTCATTAAAACTTATTCACTAAACTATTTATCTCATTACGTAATGCTAGAACCTTTATTCAGCTTCGCTTATGCATTGGTAAATGTTATCATGACAATGCATTTTTTTACCATCCTCTTTTGTGAGAAAAAAATTGCGTACGCATGTGATTGTGTAGCTAAGGATAATGAATTCACTGAAAAGAGACTCTTTTACTCGCTTTGTCTTTCATTAATACCTGGATGGGGATAATTCACGAAATTTTTAGATCGAGCATGCCATCAAAATGAGCTAAACTCAATTTAATGACAATAACGCAAATCAGGAAATTGGTACTAGTGTAACAACAGAAGACAAGGGCCAGGCAACAGAACGTTTATTACGGAAAATCAACACATATTTATAGATTTTGACGTACATTATTGTAGGTTAATGTTAGTAGAAAATACAGTCTTTTGATTGGTTGTTTCTCACGTAAAGTTAATCTTTCATCTCTTTGTGACTGTTTCTTGAATGTCAGATCATCTATATGTTAACTGTATCCGCCTACGCAAAGTCTGCTGTGGTCGCTTTTGAATCAGTCTTTGTTCATATTTTCTCACGACAAATTTTGAGAACGTAAACATTGACGTAAATAACTGTCTACCAATTTGGCTAGTAGACAGCTCTCACCACACTAGTATTTGTGGTTGTACTCAGTATCTGGTGGAGTAAAATCTGCATTTTACGTTTATTAAAAGTTACTATTCTGTTTTAATAAGGCATCTAAAAGACAAATTTCACGAGACGATATCATTTCGTAGTTTCTTTAAACCACTTTACAACTAACATGGTTAATAATAATAGCTTATTCATATTTATCGAAGGGACTAATTGTTTTCATATTCTGCTTTAATATGATTTTGTAGACATTGAAATCAATCCCAAGCTCATTTCATATATTTAAGGCGATGAAAAACTTCTAAGTAAAACGACCCTTGAGACCATCAATTATGAATGTATTGATTTTTTATCATTGTTGTAGTACTTTTACGTGACTAAAGAAAGATTATAGTGGTAGCAGCAAAAGTTAATATAATTCAGTCTCGAAAAACAAAAATAGTTAAAGTGTGACCAACCTAATTAAAACAGTGTTCACAAGACACAATTAAATATATAGCACTTTACAAAGTTTTTACAATTACATAACAACTACAATAAAATTGAATTTCCTAAAGTCCTGATAACAGCATGTACGCAGAATGAGATTTCAAACAGTCACATCGATTTATTTGTATTAAATAAGTGGTCAAATAGATAAATATGATCAGATATGTTTACACGTTTGGACTATGATCTGAAATTTTAATAGACAACCATGTATTTATTCCCTATTCCAATGTGCGTTTTGAATAGTAGCACAGACGGAGAAAAATTTCGCAACAAACATATAAAAAACAACAACTAATCATTACTCCGAATCACATGGTTAGACCATTCTTTTCAACAAAGAAACTAAAAATGAATGTATTCTTATTAAGACATGTTTACAAGGAATTTCGTTCCATTCCTTGCGTTCCAAAGTTTAGTCAGAAGTTTAGAATTTGTTGACCTACAGATGTCTTAGTGAAAAACTTGGAACAGTTATATCCTGTGATGGTTGTATAATCGGCGGTGGTCCTGATGACGGGATCGATGAAGTATGCTGATCATCATTATCATATGCTGCCGCTGCTAATGACTTATGCAAACAATTGTAGTTAACATTAACAGGAATAGGTTGACTTGTACGCAGAATTAATTCATTATTTGGATTCGGTAGACAGATTTCATTGCAGGAATTAATTGAAGATGATATAGCAGAGAATACAGCTAGTGGAATATTATCCCCACCGACTCCATCTTCTGTTCCAGAATAGGATAGAAATCTTTGTGTAACTGGTGGAACATCAATCAGTTGTTTAGACAGCAGATGACGTGTTTTAACATTTCCAGAGGAATGTCCTCTATAATCTAATTTAATTTTTGATGTTAACTTTTCATTTTGTCTTCCATCGGGATCTCGAAAACCTAACGACTCTTAAATAGATGAGAATCGAACTCCTGTTGAATTTTTATTATCATCATTATTATTATTTGAATTTGCATCACACTGATTACGTTTTTCAAGCCCAGGCTGTTGAAAATGCTTCACAGTCATTTTACCGTTTTGATTATGCACAAATGATGAGTCAGCACCAAAACCAGATGAAGCGCTTTTCTCATTAGTGAATGATGATTGAACAGTTTTGTTGTGCTGTTGATAGTCAAAGTCTGGTTGATTGTAAATATTCACCATTTGTTGTGATTGTTTTTGTAACTGAAGTTGTGATGCATGCTGTTGAGATGTACGTTTAAGAGAATCAGTACCAGGACTGCCATAGACTGAACGTAATAGCATCCAGAATTGAACTTAAAATGGTTGACCAAATCTTAAACAAACAGCAGCATTATGCTTGCATATTGCATCAACACCTGTCGTAATGAATTTATAATTTCTTGCCAGTGTAATAATTAAATCCGGTAGTAGAGCATTGCTGAAACCAGTTAAGTCAGGTTGACAAATTGCCTCCAAACACGGTTCATAATGGAACATAAGACTGTGTGCTTGTGAAACAAATAATTTTGCTGATTTCAATGATCCCATTGGAGGTAGGTTAGATATGTATTTAGGTAGCTTATTTGTTGCGGGTGTTGTGACTGTACACTCATTCACAGTTGTAGTAGACTGATGTACATTAACAGATGTAGTAACTGTAGAAAGTGTAGAGATGTTGGTCATGTTATTTGTAGCACTACTAGCAGTACTGTTATTACTACCAGATATACTAACAGGTTGATCTGAGGAGGCTGTTGTAGTGGTACCAGTTTGAGTTGTTGTTGCCGTTATTGCTGCTGTTGGCTCCGATAAGCTACTTAATACTTTATCAGTATTAGCAGAGGTGACCGGTACTGCTGGAGGTTCCAGATTTTTACCGGTTAAAGTACCATTACCTATAATAGTGGTACTAGAAGTAGTAGGGGTGAAAGTGGCCACTGGAGTAGACGTGGAATTCGAAGAAGCATAATAACCTGGTGGAAATATATTCAAACTGGAACGACGACTAGGATTAGTCATTTGATTAGGATTCTTCATACTGCTATGGATTGGAGGGTAAGTGACACTGCTTTTCTCTTCAACTACAGACAACTTTTTACTAATTTCAACACAATCCTGTTACCCATTTACTCCTCAAATGTTATTTTGCTTTAGTAATAAGCAAAACTCATTGATATTCATTTACTCAAGTTCATCTTCTTTTTACTTCTAATTTTATGCTTAAAACTTAAAATTGTTGGCTATGAAGAAAATATACGTAATGATAGTTACAGTTATACACCAAATAAAAACAAAATAGGTTATGTAATGTATATATTATAGAAAATAATATGAGGTTAAAAATATTACCAGACATATATCAGCTGATTAAAATATAACATTTTTTTTATCACAAAGAATTAATAATTATTAATAAAGGCAGATGTCAAACTTTCCTAACAGATAGTTTTTTTTACTTTACTCAAGAAGAGATCTGGCAACAGACAGAAAGATGGCTGGAGTAGCAATGGACTTGCCATTCGGCTCCATTTGGGCAGATTTCTTTCTGAGTAAACTATCCATTAGAAAATTTTATCAGAAAATTACCATTCTGTTGTCAATATATGTACGAAACATTCATCCTTCGTGAAAACGACTTAGATAAGTCGGGTAATCGCTCATTTCGGTGAGGTACATCCCGTCATCAGATTCGCTTGTAAATAAGAACCCCAAAGAAATTTGCTTCTTTGAATGTTCCGCCGAGATAGTAATACAAAAAGAAATCCACACAAGGAAAATGCATAGACAGGGTGATATATACATCTACATGGTATTGTTCCAATTCAGTACATCCTCAGCTATAGGATGAGAAATATATATCCGAAAGATTTGATTAAAGATAAGCTGAAGACAGCATATTATGCTTTAATTGAAATACCTTTTCACAGAAGTTCATAAGGTAGCACATAGCCACTATATTTAAAAAGAAACTTTTTCCATCTGACAACAAGAAATTGCATTTTAGAGGTGATACACCATGCGAAGTTGTAATCAACAAGTTAATAAGGTCAATTCAGAGAAACTTTTATGCTGTTGATCGCAACTCATAATTTCTAAAATTCCATTATGACACCAAACCTGAAACATAAAGTGCATCGGCTTCCTGTCTCTATCAATTCAAATGATCCTGTGGAGCGAGCTACTTTAGGAACTTGATTACTTGCACCTCCCAGTTTGGCTAAATAAAAAAAAGGTGTAGTAAATAGGAGTAACAACACACCCTGTCCAAACAGTTCATAATGCCAGTACTGAAGAATCCTCCCCTATCGTTTATCATGAACTGGCCATAGCAGTTCACAAAAGAAACAAATCCAATCACTGCTGCTATCCTGGCCTGCTTAAGAATCTACAAATCGATAAATATTTTATTATGGCACATCTTTTGGCCTTGATCTCTCTTTCAGCATTTCTAAATTTCCTCTACCCCCCCCCCCTCAACATTACACTTGTACAAACCAATCTTTTATTTTTCTTAACTTATCCTTTGTTATTTACTCACAAACTGGAGCGCACATTGCATTTTTCATCTTAATGATTCAATTAAATTAAAAAGCCTTAGTGTTGTCAATAAAGTTTGTACTTCAGGTATTGTTGCTGCATAACCAGGGGGAAATTATCGAGAAAAATATTTCATACATCTATTAATTTTTAGACCATTGTTATCATGTGTGACTAAACATTAAAACCCATACGTCTTAGATCAAATAACCTGCCGATTCAGCTTGTGCCACTTTGGTCTGATAATTCAGAAAAGTGGTTTCGGTACGCTAATATCCGTTAGCATGGGGCAACTAATTCATGTTCTCAATTTCTGCAGTTATACTTAATCTGTTGCGGTTACTAAAAAGTGTCATCTCACATGTTCATCCCGGAGGCAAGTAAGTTCTTCAAAGTGCAGCAACCCTGAAGAAAAACAATCTCTCAGAATACCAATGTCTCAACAACCTGTTTCGCTATGTAATGTTAGGGAATAGTTTGGCAGTGCACATGTTTTCACGAATTCGCGAAGTAATAGATTAGACTAGCGAATCTCTAGATAATTGTTCTTGACTTAGTTGCCACTATAAGCGGTCTACATCGACGAATTAGCTACATCGGCTGACAGAATCCTGCTGATGACGGTAGTGTGGTTGAGCGGTACTTGATCTTGACTCATAAACGAGTTATAAGTCCTAAACGAATTCTTAGGACAACGAACCCCGCAGTCAAAAGTCTTCTTAACACATTGGCTTATATAGCTGTTCCACAGTTGAAGGTTAGATTACCAGCGGTAAACTCCCCGTGGACAAGCACTGTGTCACTGCCAATAGATATGCTTGGCATATGGAATGTATTGAAGGGTGATGCTTGGTATACTACTGTAGAGCTGGTATATCTAACAGGTACCAAGAGAGTTTATTTGTCCCCCTAGTTTTCCACCGGCTGTGGATCACACCTTGTGAGCCAACAGCTTCACAAACATGATGCGTCCACTTAAACTTTACCCCTCCAGTCGTAATCAACAGACGTTTCTGTCCGCACATTTTTCTAAACTCCACACGAATTTATTTGTCATGGCTCCGTACATCGACCGTTGGAACCTCCATAAGACGGACTATGGGGAGTAATAAAACGCACGGACAAATCCTTTGTTTTAGATAAAAAAGGTCACTAATATTATGTTACCTTCCACCGTCCAAGTTCGGAACACAACGGGGGAAACCCTCAATTGTTCTACATAACATTCGGGTGACAGAATATCCCGTAGTACTTAGTGAGGGGGGCAACAGTATAAAGACAAGAGAAGACTCCAATGATGCAGCGAAAACACGCCCCGGTGGGACTACGAGATTTCCAGAACATCACATATATCTTGTAGGGTTAAGTAGACGTACTCCATTTTTTTCCTGGTACAACGGCTCATAAATTTGATGTGCATCTGTATACCAATTCAATCATTATTTTGGCTATTTACTTTTGTCAAAGTTGTCGACTTTCATATTTTCTCTTCCATGTGCGATGGACAAGAAGAGAACGAATAAAAAACAAGTTTTTGTACACGGAATGCAGACAACTAGAGAGCCACTGATTGCCAACGCACTTATCGAAGACGTGCTACCATCACTCCATTTCCACCCCTAGTCAGTATTGTCATAGGGTCTTCATAAACCCACTAGGAGTGGGCTGTAAGGGTGAATAATCCCCCTAAATTGGCTTACAGCTTTTATTTAACATTAGATGCTGAAGATGTGTGGTCAGGCATCCACGGCATTTGGTACGCCATTCACGAACGATATTCAGTTGACCAAGTACGTATGACTACTCAACGGCACCGATGTCAAAACATCCTTCGTAATTTGGACGATTTAATTATCATTTTGTTCTGACTTACAAAATGTTATCTGGTCTACGTTAAACAAGTATTTTGGCTATTGATGGATATAACGCGCACGCCATCGTATTATTCATGTTCATCGAAACCTTCACCTGCTATAAGTCACTTAACTGGATATTATGTTAAACAGTTTCTTTGTTGAACTGTTTGCTTCTATTCTCATATCTAGATAGGTATTTTCTGTATAATGAAATTATTGAGAAACAAAAAATATTCATCGGAACAACTGCAAAACTACTCTTCGACTGCATTATCCTTGGATCATATAGTTTTATTTAAATGCATATCTAGGACCCATTTGAAGAAACCTGGATTCTGACCAACTTCTTTTATTGATCCACTAATAATAAACAAAGAAGAAGTTTTTAGGATCTAGGTGACTTCAATAAACCATATCTTATCCAATATGCTTTTGTTATGCATAGATTTTTATGCATGCAGTATAATAGCAATTCTGAGGGGTAGCTAAAATACTAAATAAATAGTATCAAAGCCCATCTTATCACTTGCTTCATGTGTGAATCAACTAAGACCAAAGGTTGTGTTTGAATATCACTCCTGCTCGTTTAATACGTTTTCTGATTGCTACGCACAAATGGTTCGCATAGCTGCTTTATTCCCAAAATAACATGACCTGATAAGAAAATTTTAATCTCATAGACTGCTATCTTCACACAAATGATACGCAAATAAAAGACGAAATCTGCAATAAGCTTATGTACGCGTGACTGTACAGCATAACTGACTTAAGACGATGTGCGTTCTTCTTTATATATCAAAACGTAAATCTCTATAAACTACACTGTACAACTGTTTTTAAAGTGCATTATTTGACGAATGCGTCGGAGAAAAAAAACATTATTAACAGTCGGTTTCAACGAACTGACTGAACCGTAACATGCTTATCACTTATGGAAACTGAGCGCTATATCTTTACTTTATCACCGATTAGATTGAGTAACCATGATAGCAATAAAAAACAGATCACTAGTGCTAGCCAGAATTGTATACTAAAAATACCAAACAGTCAAAACTAGATACTCTTTTTGCTTTATAACCAACTCTGTTAGAATAATAACATGAAAGTAATTGCAATATGGTTCTAGATGAAAAACAAACATAAGAAATTTTTTTCACAGAAGATTGGGCTGAAAGAAATGAGTAAAAACGATATGCAAATAAGAAATCATTAAATAGGGGAATTGAACAAGGTGAAGAAGGAAATATAAAATAAATCATTGAACATGCACAACTGTACACAGATTGTACGTATGACTACAAAACTTGTATTGTAGAACTCTGACTAATATACACAACACCACCAACGACATTTATGAAGCCTGCTAGTATGAACACTGGAAACCATCGTCCACCAGACGTGATGACTAATTCGGCAGTTAACGGACCACATAATATACCAGGTATGGTAGCCTATGTATAATAATTAAAAAAAAAGAAAAAAAATACAACACACATGGGAAAAGTGGGTGGCAATAAACTAAGACCATAATAATAGGAAATACAATTTGTCAAAAGTTAGTGGAATCACAACAAGTTAACGATATGTTATTATCAAGGGCAATGCAAATTACGTAGATGAATACTCAAAAGGCATTATGATTACTATAATTCAACTATAGTTACTCATTATTGTGTGATAGGTGACTCGTCTGGTAGTTGCTGTGGTGACTATTCT